CTTCCCCCCCAATTATACATCCAGTAGATTCAATTTATCAAATGCATATGAATGGTATAATTATTGCTTTCTTTACTCATTAATTACAGTTCAAGCCTGATTCAGTCATTACCTGTGTTTTCATGCTGAATTATTCATATAAAGAGTAAATGACATATTATTTTTTTAAATCATGACTCCTCTCAGAAGTGCTGAGATATATTTAGAAAATGCTGTTTTAAAAACAGAAAATTTTGACTTTTTTGTAATTGTTTCATCCAGTTTGTAATAGGCTTATATTATAATTATTTTTAAATTGTTGTTTAATATAATTGTAGTAAAGCGGTTAGGATAAGTTTAACTGGGTGACTCCGAATATTATGGGATTGAGCCATGTTCGCCGCATCCTTTACTTCCCGATTAGTTAGTGGGAGTTCCTGGTCTCCTCTCCCACACTCTGTTGTGATGTAATTAAAGGAAGCAGGCTAGTTTCCAGATTGTGTCTAGACTTATTTTTGTTGCAGTGAGCAGTCTCTTGACCAGATCAGTCCCTTTACAAGAAGAATAAATTAAAAATCACAGAAGAAACAGGAAGCTGATATCTTGTCTATCTGCTCAGTAGAGCTGGTCAAGAAATATTGATGAAAAATGGAGGGGAAAAAATTCCATGAAACTTTCCATGGAAATATATCCATTTTCCTATCCGCTGTACTGCCAACTTCAGGCTGAATTCTGCCCTGACCAACACAGAAAGGGGAAGCAGATCTATGCACTGTTGCACACATGCTGGCAGGCAGGACAAATTTCCATGTGGTAGTCTAAGGGTATGTGTACACTGCAGTTAGATACCCGCAGCTGGCCTGTGCCAGCTGACTCAAGCTCACAGAGCTTGGGCTCACAGGGCTGTTTAATTGCAGTTCTGGGACCCTCCCACCTCTCAGGGTCCTAGACCCTGGGCTCCGTCCCAAGTCTGAACACCTACACAGCCATTAAACAGCTCCTTTAGCCCGAGTCCTGTGAGCCTGAGTCAGCTGGCACGAGGGCCAGCCGCAGGTTTTTAATTGCAGTGTAGACATACCTAAGGGACCCATAGTAAGGTGCATCCGATTGCTTCTTTGAAAAGATGCAGCAAAAGGTAGTGTAAGCAAGGCTGCAGAGTGTTATGCAGTGGGCATGACCGCGCGTTTGGCATTCCTGTTATGTATTCCTACATCACTACTGGAATCTCAGCCATCCACCAGGGCTTCAAAGACTTGGCAACAGCAGGGCTGCCCAGAGGATTCAGGAGGCCCGGGGCAAAGCAATTTCGGGGGCCCCTTCCATAAAAAAAAGTTGCAATACTATATTCTCGTGGGGGCAAATTGCCCCACCTGCCCCCCCCCCTTTGGGTGGCCCTGGGCAACAGTATTTCCTTGAATTATACCTGTTAGTCACCAGGAGCACTGTGGTACTAGCCACCTGCACTGAGGACAAGGAGATTCTTCCCGCTGCTCTGAATGCCCCTGCCAATGCCTAGCTAGGGGTGAAGAAGAGGGACGGGCAGGCAGCATTTGGGAAATGAGAGCAGGCAGTGGAGATAGGGACAGAAGGAAGATAATGGAAAGAATGGCCCTTTGTTTCAGTGGCAGTCCCTGGCAGGATTCTGGATATCCCACCAGATTGTGTCTAGGAATCCTGGGGGAGCAGAAGCAGGAGTGGGAAACGGGATCCCTTAAAAGGGTGCAGTGGATACTTCCTCCAGCACTGGTCCCTCTTCATTTTGAGGGTATGTCTACATTCTAGTGCCTAAGAATAGCAGTGTGGACACTGCAATACTGGGGGCTAGATACCCCAAGTACAGTCCCGCCCAACCACCTGGGTATGTATTCCGGCTGCTCGCCCAAGCACCTCAGGGGTGGCAACCCAGCTACAGAGCTCAGCTTTTTAGTGTAAGATATAGAGACTTGCACTTTCTGGAGATCACCTGTTAAGTCCCTGATGTTCAGCGAGGTGGTGGCAGTCACACTAGCCCTATATTCCATTCAGCCACAGAGAGGGTGTTTAGGGATAAAAATAATGAACATCTGTAATGCACTGTGAAACCTATTACAAGCTTCTGCAGGTTACACAGCTGCATGGAATCATGGGCAGGGCTTGATCAGGCTTTTCTAGTCCTGTGGAGAAGTGTAGATCTCAGTAAAAACTCCACTGGTACTGTACAGTTGTGCAGAAATGGATCCTCATACACTGGAAGAACTATCCACATATGTTACTACCGATCCTGGTTAAAAAAAAGCTGTGAAACTGAATGCGTTTCTGTGCAGCGGTTCTGATCTTTTGATTCATTTTTTGTGTGTTTAGAATTAATTTTTTAGCCAATCTTATTTCCAGTTATATTTTTATTTTATCGCCTTCAATGGCAGACTGTGCCACAACTTGCCATAGAGAACTATCACCTACATTTTGATGTCTCTTTACATAGAGAGGCATTAAATGGCCTAATTTCAATGTACTGGACTTCGTTGTAGGAAATAGCAGTAATAAGGCAGCAACTTGAAAGACCCATTTACAGTGAGAGATATTAAGAGTGTTATGTAGTTCTAAAAATATGGTTTCAAAAATCATATATCAAATTAGTTTAGAGTGAATTTCAACCCTCTGCAGAAAACCAACACAAAGTCAATGCATCACTTAAATCATCATCTTAGGTAGGACTTAAATGTGACAAACTTTTTTCTGGGCCTTCTGTACAGAAACAAATGGATAATTTCACCCTTAATATACCAATCAGCTCCTGGCTCGGCCAGAAATGAATGCCATCAGATTGAAACTGTAGTGTTATGTTTTCTTTTGTTTTGTATTGCTTTGCTTCACAGTTGAGCAGTTGTCTCTCTGAAGCTGCATGTACTAATTCTTTACTCTTTTATAAGTCATTAAAGCTTTTATTAAAAACAAAACAAAAAACACACCAACAAAACTCAAAGGTTTTCTTCTCTTTTATAGTTTTTTTTTCTTATTTTTTGTTGTGTATTTTCCTATGGTATTTTGGCATGAAGTCTTGTCATGAATGTTCTAAAACAAAATTATTTCAGCTTTTTTTTTTTTTTTTTTTTTTTTTTTAAAAAAAAGAAAGATGAATAGGATTGGAAGATGGAATAGACATAGGTTTAAAAAATTCTATATTTTGCACCTTATTAAGCACAAGGTGTGTTTGCAGTAAAATGTTCATGTAACACTGAAGTTAAGCTAAAACCCTTCTCAAGTGCCTGTACATTTTCATTTTGTACATCAGGTTTATCCTCCACTCCTGATTTCAGAACTGGTTCCATATGCCAGCAGCATAAGAAATCTTTCGTGGGCTATGAATTATTAAACTGTTTCTGTTGCTTTAAAAAAAAGGCAGCAAAATGAACACTTAGAAAATTGTAAGTAGGAAAAAGAATATTCTGCTACCAGAAGAAAGGACTCGGTTTAAAAAAGTCTCATTAATCAAAAGTGATTAATGCTTGGTAAATCCAGCAGCAAAGCATAATCAATTACAAAACATTGTATGAAAATAAAATTTTCAGCATAACAAAACTAAGGAATTCAAAGGCAAGGCTGAGTCTTCATTCTTGGTGCCAGATCCTGTCCTTTTGAAGAAAAAGCCTAGAACGCTTTTGATGCCTATAAAATAAATTATAAATAATCATCTTTGCTGAAGCTGCTACTGGGTATCATAACTGTCCTTGGTCTTTACAGGCTTTGGGCCAGAGTTGCTTACCCATATGCGGGTGTACAAATGGGATGGCACAGGAAGCCCTATTCCACTCTCCAATGATATAGTCAATGTAAGAGCCAGGCAGAATTGCATCCCCAGTGCTTGCTGAGCACAGGAGGCCCCCATCCATCCTCCTCTAAGGGTGCAAGGTGCCCCCAAAGGAGGCTATAGCCCTACAACCACTCAATGCCAGGTCATAGAGTGAGGCCAGCATGTAGCAGGTTGCATTCCTTACGAGGTGCAAAGGGTGAGAAAGGCACAAAGAATAATATGCAAACAATTATAATAGCATTATATAACTCCATGGTGCATCCTCACCTCAAATCCTTTGTTCAATTTTGATCACTTCCATTCAAGAAGGTTATGCGAGAGGTATATGGAATATACCGAAACCAAATAAAGGGGCTTTTGTTTGAATCTACATACTTCAGGGCATAAGCTGATGGCCTGCTGGAGCGATATAAATTTACCCAACATATAAACATTTGCTAGGAGTATAAAATTCACTTTGGGCAGATGCATGAAAGGGGTTTTCTGTGCTTTCTGCTAGAAGGTTTGTATACACTTTTTTTTTTTTTTAAACAGGGTATTTGTTGGCCAGATACCCTAGTGGCTTCTGATAACTTATTTCCTATGTTTTCTGCTGTAAATTATGTGAGAATTTGAGTTACATAAAATACAAAACAAAGCCGTAAGTCACATTGCAGAATAACGTTTTTACAGCTGAATTACAAACTCCTATCATAATGGGAACATGGACAAAAATAGTTCAATTACATCATTGCTACTAGGTGTTTGCTCTGAAGTGCAGAGTTTAAGGTCAAATTGTGATGTACTACACTACAGTAAATCTGGAGCAGATCAGTGGAATTATTCTGAATTTACACTGGTGTATGGTAATTGGAGAAGCCTGATTTGGCACATCCTGCATTCTCCAAACAACATACTATCTACATTATTGCCATAAGTTGTCACATGGTATTGTAAGATGCTAGGAAATGATCTGGAGATTACAGAAGTTATTTGCTGAAAATCCAGATTTGGAAAAACAATTTTGGCAGAGGGCATTAAAGTGAAATGCTGAATCCCGTAAGCTTTTCTTAATTTTCATTTTCCAAACGGCGTTCAGTCTTTATCTTATGATGTACCGTGCTAATGGTTTTATCTGTTTAATTTTTATTTTATTTTCAGGGAGCAGTGAGAAGGCAGGTATTGTTTGTAAAACTGTGGAAAAAGACTGCTTACATTTTCTCTAAATTTCCTATTTTCCCCCCCCATTTAGGATGATTATTTCAGAAACTGGAACCCAAACAAACCATTTGATCAAGGTAAAAATATTTCATGATGTACACATATACCTCTCTTTCTCTCTCTTTTTCTCTGTCAGAGGTGGGCTGTGCTGCAAAATTAGATCCCGCTTCAGATTTATTCAAAGTTTGGGATACCTTAAAGCTGAGGGTTTGACTTAGCCTTGTATTTTACAACTGTATTTTTTCAATGCTCTTCCATTCCTGTTTGCATTTGGTGGTAATGTGTATACTTAGAAAGATACACTATAACTGGTAGTCAAGATCTAACAATGCCATCCGAAATGAGTTACTTAACATACATTAACAGTTGTTGAAAACTGAGTTAAATGGGTGTTTTTGCAACTTAAATTGTTTTTATTGTCTAACACTCAAGTGCCTATTACTTGCATTCAGTGGCATTTTAAGTCTGAGAATGGACTGCAGAATTGGTTCCCAAGTGAAGATGCAGTTGTATAGCTGCGGCTGACTCAGACACTGGTACTAGCTATGACTCCTAAAACAATTTGCACTTTCTTTGCCTTAGTCAGTTAAGTCATGGCAATATTCCCACCATCTATGAGTGCTTGTCTAAGGCCTGGTCTACACTTAAGTCAACCTCCTTTTGTCAGAGGTCACCAGTGGTCACCAGGTCACCAGTCCTCACCAGGAGCGCTTGCACCAACTTAAAAGGGTGGGTGTGGGACCTGAAACCTGGCTTTCAGCTCCCCGTGGAACCCCCAGTTCCCAGCTAGCTGAGAGCCCAGGCTCCCAGCACCAGACAGGGTGCAGAGCTGACAGGTGATGTAAGTAACGCATTGTCTGTACAGACGCTGTGTCGCCCTAATCACATCGAGCGTAAGCGCTACACCTCTCGTGGAGGTGGGGTTATTTGGTCGGCGTAGTGGGGGACTTGCATTGGTGGGAGCAATGCTGTAGTGTAGACACTTAGAGTTAGGTCGACGTAAGTGTCTACTGAACTCCGTAGTGTAGACCTGGTCTACATTGGGGAAATGTAGCAGCATATTGATATCGATGTAATAACACTGTCACAGATCCTGCCGAGTGCCCTTTTCTGGCCCCTCACTGGGACTACTGTGAGGGGAATTCCAGCCTCTGTGCTCTGGATTCCTATGGTGTTTCAAGCTCCTGGGGCCTGAATGGCATCCAGGCACTGCCCCAATCTTGGGGTCCCTAGGCACACTCTCAGGGTGCACACTTTCTATCTGCCCCCCCTTCCAAGTGTTGTAACTCACTGTCCATCCGCCTAGCCCCTCTGGGTGCAACATTTACCCTTCAGACTCCCCCATATTTAAATGCATCCCTCTCCCAGAACTCCACCCAACATCTGTGAAGCTTCTGGCTTACTGTTTCAGTCTCCCAGGGGCACACAGTAGTTGTGAAGCAGTCAACACACACGTTGCCCAGTAACATCTTTATGCTCATATTTAATCATACAAAAGCATGTGAGAGTACATTTTATACAGAACAATAAAACATCTTAAAATTAATGACACTCACTAGCTCACCCTTCCTTTGGGAGATCATCTGTGTTCTGTAGGTCAGGCAGGCCAGGGTCCTCCACCCCTTTGCCTGTATCACCTCTGCAGCAACCCCCTCATGTTAATCTGGTGCAAGATGTTCCCCTCCCAAACGCCCCTTCTCGTGAATCCCTTTATAGACTCCTGCTAGGGTCACCTGCTTCTTTTGTTCAGTCTTTTGGTATTTTTCCATGGCTCTCAGATTTCCCTCCCTTCAGATAAGGGTAGGAAGTGTCCTCTCCCAGCTACAACAAAGCCGTTGTCCCAAGGTGTTGTACTTGGAATAGATGACATTGAGTGCTAATCGCTCCCCATTGTCTTTGGCCTGGTAGGGACTTTACACAGCCCTGTTAATTCATGTGGATCCATATCCAATACAGTTTCATAAAATTATCCACAATTCAGAAGTGATACAGACAGAACAAATTGTCACAGACACCACTAGAGCCGTGCTGGTGTAACTCCCCGTGTGCATACTTCTATTCTGGAATAAGTGTGTCCACATAGGAGGGCATCCTGGTATAATTATGCCACTAAATTTCCACATGTAGACAAGCCCTAAAATAGCAGCCAAATGAGAGAAAATGCATATGTTGCAATAATACAAAAGCACAAACAAGGAGACCTTAGGATGACTGACTGACTTCTAGTGTTCAATTGAGAAAACATGCTGCTCACATTCCGCTTACCAAGAGAAAGCAGCATTAATACAGCATGCAAGCTGAAAAAATGGAATTTCTGTTTCCTGCCAAATTTTATTCACATCTGATATTTCAATATGTAATATCAGATACGGTGAAAAACGGGTTATGTATCAAAATATTTACATGCACAACCGTACCTTAGTATAGTGTCTTACTTGACCGAAGGAACCTCTATCAGTTCACCATCCCTTAGTACTCTGCACTGCAGCTTTCAACAGTGGTTATGTGCAAAAATATCTTGGTTTGGGCTTGAAAACATGACCCATAACCCAAAGGTGAGTATTAGCAACTGAATCATACTGGCACCGCAAGGATTGTTTAAAATCTGATTGTCCTCCTGAGTGTAAGGAAGCTGGCAGGGGTAAAGAAAATGTTCTGAAAAGGAAGGATGCGACCTACATAAGACTGTCCTCCCTGCTATGCACTGAAATAGGTCAGCATTCAGCAAGGATTGAAGGAGCCAACTAGTGCACAGCAGCACTGGATATGGGCAATCGGAATCAGACAGGCCTGTCACAAAAGATACTGTGCAACTGACCCTGGTCCCTGCCCATAGAAACCTGGTGACATTAAGCAAGCAGGTCAGCAATCTAAGGAGCCCAGTGCACCAGGGCATGCACCCTGGGATAGGAGAAGAGAAACACGCGTTTTCTGTGTAACATGGCCAGCATGATAGACTAGAAGCAACAGGAAAAGAAACCTGTATGTCTTGCTGGATGGGTATGTGGAGTAGCGATGAGCTACAGAATGTTCTCACAGCTGACACGTTGACATTTGGAGACGGAAATGCACTCTTCGGGGAGTAGGCCTGGTAGTGGAAGACATTTGTCCTGGGGAATCACAGCAGAATGTCAGTGGGCACACTAAAAAGCCATGATATTGTTAGGTGTTCTGTGCTTGACAGTTGGTGTCAGTTCAGTAAAGGGCAGTGGAAACAAAGAAATCATAACAATCCATTTGTCTAAAAGGCAGTCATGAAAGTAATGCAAATTGATAATAGGCCATCACTGTGTAGTTAAGATCAGAAGACTCCATTTTATCTTGGTCATCATTATATATCCACTGAACCTCATATTCAGAAAGGCAGCATCTTGGTGACCTGCCATTATATAAAAGACTCTGGCACTGAGACACTGTTCCTGTACCTCAAAAGGGCATAGAGTGGAGCTACTTGCAGTTGCTTTTCATTATGTTCTTGAGCCTTTTTGAAATGTGCTTTTTCTGGGGAAATACAGGGAGCAACTAAGTTTCCCCAACAGACACTTCCTTTTATGTTTACCTGGACCCAGCTATCGCCTGTTCTCTGGGTAGCGTGTACTGATGTCTGTTGCATAGAGGGCATCTCTGTTTTTCTGTCAGCTGCACATTTTTCCAGTGTACAGTGCAATGTAAACCTTCAACTGTTGTGCACCAAGCCACCCAATAGGAGAATCAGGGCCAATGTGTTTCAGCTATGAAATCTCAGACAAATCATTAACCTGTTCCAAAGGCCAGGTTTTCCTGGCCATGTCATGCAGGAGTCTCTGACAAGTATTGTTTCATTACATATCTCTTAAGTTGTAGAACCTCCCGAATCATCACGTCTTTTAAAATGTCTCTCTCCTGCTACTTGTGTGTCCTAGAATTTATCATCTCTTGCTTTCCAGATGCAATCTTAGGGCCACATTTTTAGAAATGTCAAATTATACACACAGTCACCACAATACTGATGAAATTCACCCCGTGCCGAAGATTCAGTACAATCCATTACACCAGCTAAGCCCTATTTTGAGGATTTAAGTAGGATTTAAGTGGTGAGTAAACCTTGTGCAGCCCTCCTTGCAGAGGTGAATTTAACTCCCATTAACTACAAATGACGAGTTAGATGGATAGGTAGCCAGATGGATGTGTAATCATTGTGATTTCCAAGATAATAATGGTATTTGTGTGAGCAGACTATACAGACGCATTGTTGGACACATAGTTAAACTCAATTTGTTTAAAAAAAAAAATCGGCAATCAATTTGTTTTCTTTTAAATTCTGTATTTACATATAACTTGACTTTAAATAAATATTCCACATGCTTCTGTTCCTACTCAGCATTATTTGAAACTTTTTATTATCTTGCCTTTCCTGAGATGCTGATCTTCTTGCGTTCTTAGAATTTTAATTATGTCACTTTCCCTGCTTCGAGTTTGTAATTGGTTTGCTTTCAAACTTCTAATCTCGCTGCTCCCTCCTGTGACTGCATTGTTCCCTTTGCAGGGCTTTTGGAGTGACTCTGCACATCTTTTCCAAAGACTCCCAAGTGTGGCTATTGTGTTCTGACTTATTATTAGTATCCATGCTTTAAATTAATGATTGAGCAATTCAGCAATAGGACCTCATAAATTGGGAAGTTATATAACAAAATGGATTCTCAGACAATTAACAGAAGTGTTCTATTTTCCTAAGGACAGGACAAGAAAAATTATGAGCAACTTACAGGCATTCTGAGTCAATAAATACAAAAATACAATACACTTTAGAATGCCTGTAAGTTGTTATCTTTGAGAGTGTCATTAAGGTCTCTCTCAGAAGAGGAAAATAGATGTAGACACCTCATTTTTATCTAACATTTTTCAGTTAGGTTTTCAATAGTCAGAGTGGGGTGAAGTATTCACATCCCTTTCAATTTAACATATTTATTGAAAAACACACCCATCCTGTGTTCTGAGTGCCTGTACAGATATTATAAGAACAAAACCAATTCTCACCAATCTCCAATATGTAAATACACATACTCCGTCATGTAGCCAGCTATTCATGCCTCCCCCA